AATAAATAGGCAGCTGGACTCTAATATGTAAACAGGTAATAATAGACATTATCTTTGAGATGGTGCGGTTTTTTGTGAAGGAGGTAAATATTACGCCCTGAAATGCTTTTTCATGAATTGTTCTCTTTCTTTAGCTTCTCTCCTCATTCATCTCCCTTCCTCCCTCCCTCCTTCCTTCCTTCCTCCCTCCCTTCCTTCCCTCACGCTTCACCCTCCTCTCCTCCTCGCCCGTTCTCTCCCACAATGCACTGCGTGCACTCGCTGGATCATGGACCAAAGCGGTAAGCAAAATGTCCAGTCAAGGCCGATGTGAGCGAACTGATTTCCCGTCCTATGTTTCTGCACGCAGCGTTAGTTGCTGTTGTAACAGTTCATCCGGTCACGACCCACCGCCCGGGCTGCGGAGGGGTTTGCTACGGCACCGCTCCTTCTCACAGAGCAGCGTTCAAGCTAGCCTGGTCCGAGTTAGCTAAAAGCTGGCTAGCAATGGAGTTAAGCTAAATTACTTGTGGTCACGAAAAGTTAACGTCGAGTCTTAAATGAACTCGTGGAGCTGCGTGTGGTGTAACAACAGGGTCTGTGCACCGCTCTGTTAAACAGCGGCTGGTGTATTTATCATATATTAGTGAGGAGTAACCTCAAACTGCGACTGAGTTGGGGCGCGAATGCTACACAAACCGATGTTAGCATTCAACTAGCTAAGCTACTGGGACTGTCATAGCTGATAACATGTCTTAAGAGTATTAGCTGGAATGTATGAGACGTTTTTATTTCCTAACGCGTTGCTATTTTCATATTGGATGATTCTCCACATGATGATATTGACTTCGCTGCTTTCTCAGAGTTACTAGTTACCTTGCTAACTTTAGATGTGTAATTCTTCCCCCTACATCCAACAGTTCTTTATTTTAGGATGCGAATATTCTCCTAAACGTGTCCACCATGATTAATCTGTTATTATATCTGTGGATAGTGTCAGTGTGATTCATGTGGACGGTAGGGTTAATGTCACACAGTCTGTGTATGTGCACATCCCGACTTCAAGCATCTCCTTGTGAAATCCTACTCTAAAACCACATCCATATATTTTATATATTTTTTCACTGCTCATTTAAACTCTAATCATTCACAGATGTCCTCTCGCTAAATGTTTGCATGTCCTTAAAGTCCATATGGTTTAATTTTCTGCATGTATGTATAGCTACTGAGTGACAAGACTACCATAAGCATGTTGAATTAATCAATACTGCTCCTTTTATTTTTCTTCAGACAATGATCTTCAAGGAAGCGACGGCTCTGGGAATTTGGGTGGCCCAGATGTCCGAAGGCGAATCCCCATCAAACTCATATCCAAACAGCCCTTAAGGAGCAAACCTCTGCCACGCACCCAAAGACCCAACAGCAGGCCAACTAAAAGTGAGCCCGGAGAAAATGGTAGGATCAGTTGGCCATGCCCTGTAGCGTTGCATTGTGCACCAAGGTTTCATATTTTCCATTTCAACTATAGATTTTGGTATAAATACTAAGAAAGGACATAAATTAAGAAAATAAATAGTTTATCCCCTTAAAATGTGAACATAAATGTAATCCTTTCTGCATTGTTTATACTGTAAAAAAGGGTTCATACCAGCAAATATACACACAGATGCAGAGTAGAGATTAAAGAACGTGAAATTATGTGACATGATCATAGTGACAATCATCCCAGTTGTCAGTATTATGGCAGCAGTTTTTCTGTCGGTAACATTTCTTTCTCTGCTGCCACGCCAAAAGTTTTTGGTTGCATTTCGCGAAGTGCAACCAAAACTGTTCCTTGGTCGCACTGCTGTGTCTTACATTTAGTTGGTGTGACGCTTCTCTCATCTCACCCCTATCAGTGTGTGAGCAGAGTTTACACTCACACACTAGCCCTGACCTAACCAACGTACACACCCACAAACAGACACAAGGAAAGATCGTTCATGTAGATGAGGTGGTTTTTGAATTTGTTTTAGAAGAGCGGCAATGAAAAGTGTGAATACAGAGTTTCCAACACACTGAAAGCAACGCTGCAAAACGATTAGCACTGCTGCTTCAGGATCAGAGGAGAAGCAGCGGTTGATTTGTACCTTGTCAGTCTCCTGTTTGAGTGTCCTCCCTCCACACTCCTGCTGACCTGCGCTCATTTTATAATTAAACAATATAACCAACACAAATCCCGAGTTATTAGGATCGGAACAGTGCTGAAGTTTACTTTTGTGTTAGTTTGATTTGCTCCAGAGTTTATGAGGCACTTATTTAAACACATTGATAAAAGGTCCAACATTTTGTGTGTTCAACTGCTACACACTAAACAAGATGGAAAGAACATTTATTAAACAGGAGCGGAGTAGTTGACTGTCGAGTGTCACAACAAAGTTCCTAGCAGTTTGAAACTGTAACTTTCAGGAAATTTATTAGGGCATTCTATGGAACAAGTTATCTTTTAATTCCTCATACAGATATTTGCAGTATACTTGTATCAGCTGATTTTTATCGGCCAACAGATAATTCAGAAACAACAACAGAAAGTTCAGTGAAGCATATCGTCTCTGTTGACATTGGCAGAGGCAAAGATCAAGTTACATCTGAGGCTGGAGCTGTGGTGGTGTTGTTAATGTTCCTTCGTCATTGTTGATGACTTAAAGTTTTACCTAATTTCCTCTTTGCCAATGCAGGGTTTCCTTTCTGCCATTATGACATTGACAAAGGCTCAACTCTTACATAATTAATTTAACGCAACAAGGATCGTTGTAGTACTCCTTGTTTTACTTGGGGTTCCCTCTCGTGGTGAACAGTAGGTCTGTGACAGTATGTAATTTATTTGAAAAAAGACATTTGGATAAAACTATCAACAATGGTTTTTATACTAATGTTTTTTCATCATGTGGTTTGCTCATTACCACCAGGGGTAATGACAATGATAGCTGATATAATCATGAACAACAGACATGAGAGGTTTGATGGTGTCATTTTTTAACCCCAAGGAAAGTAAGATTAAGTGAATGTAAAATGCATTGCAAAATAATATTACAATTTTAAGGTTCAATTATGGCTTTAACTTTCTTTTACTATGTCAGATTTGTATGGATTTGTTTTTATAGCAATATTTAATATACCTACCGACTGACTTGCTGAAGAAGGGTGGCGTGACCAAAATGTCTGTGACAATAAAGTTAGGTTTGAGTGCTCTCCAGTTCTCTTTTAAAAGTTACTCACCACCTAATTTCATTGTTATTACTCTGAGTTGAGCTTTTTATATCTTATCGTTTTTAAACTTTGGGAACAATTGATTCGCCTGATAATTCACATTTTCTTCAACATTTACATTCCATCATTAACATGTGTGTCTTGTGTTTCACAGATAACTTTGGCTTCAAGCAAGAGGACAGGTTTGACTGTGGTGCTAAAGCTGGAGATGTGTTTGCAAATCAGAGGAGATATCCCCAGCCACTGTTTTGGGACTATAAGGTACATCCCACAGAATGATCAGACTCAACACACCTGTCAGTGTTTTCAGACAGATGTTACCAACAGACCTTTCCATTACTATTTCACAGTACACTGTAAGCGGTGATGCACATCCAGACAATCACAACAATTGTACTCATATCAGTGTGGTTGTAGTTATCTTCCCGTTTTACCCTATGGTGTGGGGAATGAACAGACTGTCACAAAGAATGAGCAAATAGAAAAGTCTGTCTGTGGCCATATTTACAGTATTCTAGGGTGCTCTAATAAAAAGTATTTGTGAATCTCATTTCTTGATCTTTTTTCCCAACAGTTGCATTTGATTGGAGAAAGGGATGAAGTACCAATTCACTTCTGTGACAAATGTGGTCTCCCTATCCAGCTGTATGGGCGGATGGTATGTACTTTGCAATCTGACCGTTATCTGCAGAATGTTTTTCTTTGAGAATTGCTGATGCCTACCTGTTGAATTGTTAACTCCACAGATCCCCTGCAAGCATGTTTTCTGCTACGACTGTGCTTTGCTTCATGAAAAGAAAGGAGACAAGATGTGCCCAGGGTGAGACATTTCTACCGTTGAAAAGTTTTGTTGTGGAATTCATTATTTTATTTTCTTATTTTTAAAAAATGTACTAAACCAGTTGTTGCACCTTGAAGTAATGTGTAGCCGTAATGATTGTCGCTCTTCAGATGCGTTTTTTTAACTCCCGCTTTTTGACACTTGTCCAGC